GACACCATGGACTGTAATCCTCCAGTCCTCTGTCCATGGGGGTTATCCAGGCGACAATACTGAAGTGGGTTGCCATGCCCTCCTCCAAAGGATCTTCCCAACCCAGGGATCAAACCCAGGTCTCCTGCATTGCAGGCAGATTCTTTACCACCTACCACGGAAGCCCATGTGACTTTCTAGGCTCCAGAAAAACTTTTACATTCCCACAGCTGTATCTTTGCTTCAGCCTGCCATAAGCTTATCCTTTTCAGATCCCATTCGACAAAATTTACTGAATACCTAGCACACTACCTGACACACCTATTAGCTGGATTAATGTTTCACATCACCTTGCACCGTGTACACAAATGCTCAGTGAACACTTGTCCACCGAATAACAGCACTGTTCATCAGAACAAAGGGAGTTAGTACCCCGGGAGTTCCTAGGGTGGTAATATGGTGTATTGACTAGTTTTGCTTGAATCCTAATTCTACCACTTACTAGTTGGATGACCCCAGGTAACTCCCTTAAATTGTCTGTGCCTCAATCTTCATCATATGGAAAATGTAAAATGGGGATAATAATAATGCCTATATATAAGACTGTTGTATTAATTGGAAAAATCCTTATCATGGTTTTGTTGTTGCTATGTTCAGTTGCTAAGTCATGTCCAACTCTTTGCAACCCCATGGACTGCAGCACCCCAGGCTCCTCTGCCCTTCACTATCTCCCAGAGTTTGCTCAAATTCATGTCCAGTGATGCTATCTGACAATCTAATCATCTCATCCTCTGCTGCATCCTTCTCCTTTTGCCTTCAATCTTTCCCAGCATCAGGAACTTTTCCAGTGTCAGCTCTTGTATCAGGTGGTCAAAGTATTGAAGTGTCAGCTTTAATATCACTCATTCCAATGAATATTCAGGGTTGATTTCATTTAGGATTGACTAGTTTGACCTCCTTGCAGTTCAAGGGACTCTCAAGAGTCTTCTCCAGCACCACAGTTCAAAAGCATCAATTCTTCAGCACTCAGCCTTCTTTACGGTCCAACTCTCACATCCATACATGACTACTGAAAAAACCATAGCTTTGACTATACAGACCTTTGTCAGCAAAGTGATATCTCTGCTTTTTAATATACTGTCTAGGTTTGTCATAGCTTTCCTTCCAAGGGGCAAACATCTTTCAGTTTCATGGCTGCAGTCATCATTTAAACACATCGTAAACACCAAATAAATGAAGTTATTATTTCCAGCTCCAGCTAAAACTGAGTTTTCCTATAAGCCTTTATTCTGGGTGGAAGACAAAAACCAAGAACAACTGAGACTTGAGTCCCTGGACAGGCCTCATTCTGCATCCACCCCAGGACCTTGAGCCATCTCAGCAACCAGCAGCTTGTTCCCTAACTCATAAATCCTGACTAATGACACAGACATGTCACTTAAATGTTTGTGAAGCCCAATGACTTATTGTTAAGTGCTTGGACATCTTCAGATGAAAGGCACCCAAGGGCAAGCACCAGATATCTTTTTCAGTCATAAAAGCAAAATACTAACCCCAAACTTGGAAAAGGCAGAGGCTCCATAACAATGCAGGAGAGAATTAAAGCAGGCACCCAGAAAGTGCAAATCAATTCTTAGACTGTAATTCCTTTATACAGAGACAGACACAGAGAGATAATTCTGAATGTCTCAGACTACTTGGAGGGTCCAGAACGCACAGGGGGAGCAGTATACCCAAGTCTTTAACAAAACTCGGGGTGAGGAAGGAGTGTGAATCTTTCACCTGTCCTAAACAAAAACAGGAGCAACAATTTGTCTCTTATCCTAAATTTAAGCCAATTAAGAGGCTTGGGCAAATTAGTCCCCTAAGTGGCTTTTTTTCTCAATTGTGGCCCGTCCTGAACTATGCCAGGTTTCCTTTCCAACGTGAACTTCATCTTCCCCCACTTCTCCCCCAACCACCACGTTAGACAATGGATCCTCCTGGACCCAGAGGCCATTCCAGGGATGCCAGGCCAGGATTGTATTGGCAGACTCCTGGCACTGAGACCTTAAAAGTTGGGGGGGCGGGGGGGGGGGAATCGTCAGCGGTGCCCAACACATAGTTTTTGCAGGGGCTGTCCCTGATGTTGAAGCAGAGAAACTACTGCCACAGATATTAGTTTCCTATCCGATAAATGGTAGAGTTGCCGTGATGTAATAGCAAGGACACTCGGAGTCGTGCAATCCTACCATCTCATAGCTTTGATACTTTAGACCGGTTCCGTAACCATTCTGGGCTTTGGCTTGTTCATCTATAGAGAGTTGATAACAATACTTCCTATCTCACATGTTGTGTTAAAAGTAAATGAAAGAGGAAATAAAAGTAAATAAGAGGGTATACCCGAATGCTTCGGCCGGCTCTAAAGTATTATACCAGGGGCATTAGAGCCGTAACTCCTCCCCACCCCCTAAACACGCACGTTGCCAACTAGCAGTCGCCACTAATATAGCCTGCCCCCTCCCAAGGCATCTTGGGCCTTGAAGTCCTTTGGTGGCCACACCCTCGTTGGCTGCAGTGGAAGTAAGAACTACGCCTCCCAGGATGCAGCGGTAAGGCAGCCACCTCGGCCACCCTCTACTCCGCCCTCCTTACGCACAGCCTCCTGGGATATGTAGTCCCGGCTCTGCGCTGCTTCAGCAGGAAAAAAAGGGCAGGGGAACCACAAACCCCAGAAGCCCTCGCGCCCACCCATCTCCCTCCCACTCGGAGTCCGAGTGCTGTTTTTGTTGTTGGTGAAAGGTGAGGGAACAGCTGATCCGTCTGTGGGGTAAGAAAACTTGGCCTAATTTGGGGGCGATCTTATGGGGGGTCACCCCACTTTCCAATCTGTGAAAGGATCATCTAAGGGAACCGTAGAAGGGGGAGCAGGAGCGTTTGAGCGTTAACACTTTCCGTACTGGAGAAGCCATCCCCACTGTTTCGGGAGTTCTTGGTCTCATGGGGGGCCTGATCACGGGGGTTCCCTCTGACGGTTCTTGCCTCCCTCTCAGTCCTTCTCTACAAAGCTTGATACGCTTAAGGGAACTCGAGGGAGGCTGAAGTCTGCTCGTTCTCGGCCCAGCAAGACTTGGCCCCACAAACCTTCCCTTTCCCCTTACACCCTACGCCGTTCCCCCCCGACCAATCCAAAGCCCTTCACTACGCTGGATCCGTGGGGAGGGAAGCCTTCCAAGATGTAGAATGTCAAAGAACTCTAGAGCCCTACAGCGTGGTGGGGGGATGGGGAATCCCCCCCCCCACACACCCATGCAAACACCTGAATTGGGCTACACGTACACACCTTGGGTGCCCATAACTCTCTTTCAGACCTGGGGGATATTTCCAGCTGTTATGAATTTTGTGGGGAATATTGTCCTGGGTGCCCAGAACAATGTCTTTGAGAACAATTCAACCCCTTTTAAGAGAGCCAGAATTGTATTGAAGGGGAAAAAACATAGACTAGTTTTCACTAGGGATTTTTCAGAGATGAAAATAAAGAGACACCTCTTGTTGTCAATTAAGTCTCAAGTTTGGAGGGAGAAGTAACTCCTTTTTATAGAGCTGGCCCACCTTCCTTTCTCTACTGAGTTTCTGTCCCCTTTTAAAATCCCTGCCCACCTGACTTAAGCCTGGTGTGGGTTTGTGATGTTTGAGGGCGTGCACATGACTAGTGGCTGTGGTTGGTTGGACGCCCATCACTGTGGTTGACACAGGCCTGAGTTCAGTGGGCTGGAGATGAGAGTTGACAAGGGCCATCTCACAGTCCTCCCCTGCAAATTCTCTTGATTATTGTTACCTTTCCTCACTCTACCCTCAGATTTTCCAGGGAATTCTCCTCACCCAACTTAGAACACCTTTTCTTCTTAATCCCATCCTATAGCATGCCTCCAACTACCAGTCCAAGCAGATGGAAGGGTTCAGACATTTAGAATTGAGGCTAAGGGGAACAGAGAAAATGAGGGGGAAGGGGAAAACTGGAGATGGGTTAACAGTCAAACCAGTAGGTTTCAAGCCCTGCTCGAGACCTGAAGAGAAGAATGTGAGGTTCTTTTTGAACTGTTTCTCCTCCTCACAACATTAGTACATTTCCCCATCCCAAGGCCCCATACTTCCAGGCTATCCCTACTGGGGGTGGCGCTTTTCTGGCTCCAGGCCCCCACATTCCATCTCCCCACAGCACCACGTTCCTGCTGAGTGTTCCATCTCACCCTTGAAGCAGCCTCCTCCAGAATACTTTACTTTCTGGAGTAATAATTGAGGGAGAGAACCTGTGTTTCCTTCCTTTCCCTTTGTCTCTTGGATGAGAGTACAGGCTGCTATTATTATTATTATTATTATTATTATTATTCATGGCATAAGTCAGCCAAGAGATGGGAAGAGAGGGTGAGAGTTCACTGGCTTCAGGATTGGTCAGCCACATTCCAGCTCCAAAGACTGACTTGTTACTTTCAGAGATGGTTGCTGTTTTCAGGTGTCACAAGTCATTTCTGGGTACAGCTGGAGTGAGCAAGGAGACCTGCTCAGGATGAGGGGGACCACACGCCTCAGCTGGAAGTTGAATCTAAGAGCCCGAAGATGTGAGGGATGGGGTGAGGAGATGGAGCTGAAGAATTTGGAATATTCAAGGCTATTAAGAGATGGAAAAGGAAGGACTAACTGCAGGAAGCAGAGTCTGGGGTACTGAAGCTTGGTCAGTGGGGCTGTAAAAAGGGAGCAGAAATTAGATCTTAATTCTAGGAAAAGCCTATGACTCAGAGGGTGCAGTGTGAGACAAAATGTGTACCAACAGCAAAGGCCAGACCTATGCCCTAGAAGCAAAGATTGATACCTTTAAAGAGTCCTGTAACTCACAGGGCTTGGAAACCAGATCCACCTTCATCTACAGGGGCAGGGGCTGTGGGTAGGTAGGGACAGAGTTGTGGGGCAGAAAGGTAGAGGGGAAAGACTTTTTAGGATATTAAATCTTTGTTTCACAGGAGGGCAGATAGCTCGAGACCAGAATGGAAGAGTCATCACTAAGCCGGGCACCATCCCGGGGTGGAGTCAACTTTCTGAATGTAGCCCGGACCTACATTCCCAACACCAAGGTGGAATGTCACTACACACTCCCGCCAGGCACCGTTCCCAGTGCCAGCGACTGGATTGGCATCTTCAAGGTATCCCTAGGTCCCCTTCAGGCTCAGGTTTATGGGCCATGAGTGGTGTGGAATAAGGGGAACGACTTGGTTTCTGGATTCTTAACCTCATAATGATAAGGAAGAAGGGAAAAGGATGTCAGAAATGGCAAAGGCCATCTGTGTAAGCAAAGCCCCCCTTCTCCCTATCTTAATGTTGCTCTCTCCTGACACAGTAGCATCCCTCCACTTTCCCTGTCTCAGCATCCTTGCCACAGCCACACCATCCTGCCAGCCTCCCAGTCAGTCCCTCAGCCCTTTGCACCATCCGGACCTGGAAGGTGCATCACCATACCCCTCTCCCACTGTGGGCTCTGACAGGTGGAGGCTGCCTCTGTCCGGGATTACCACACATTTGTGTGGTCTTTGGTGCCTGAAAGTGTTACTGATGGTTCTCCCATCCATGCCAGCGTCCAGTTCCAAGGTACAGGGAAGAGGGGAAATCGGGAGGGAGGGGTCAAAGGGATGGAGTTTGGAAGTGGGTAATGGGCTCACCAGATATATTGATAGAATCATGGGATTTTCCCAGCATCAGGGGTTCAGACATGAAAGGAACAGTAAAGGGCCAATAGCCCTGCCTCCTAAGAAAAAAGGAGGGAACTCCTCCTGTGGAATTAGGAGGTAGGGAAGAGGGAAAAGTGGCTTAACAAGAAAAGTGGCTTAACAAGAAGATGCTCATTAGATTCTGAAAGCTTCAAATCTCAGCTCTAATACTTATAAGCTGTTTGACCTTGGGCAAATTACTTACCCTTTCTGTGTTATCTTAACAGTAAAAGGGGATGCCTGGCTTATAGGAACAATATGAAGATTTAAAATGATACAGATAAAGCTGTTAATACAGTGCCTGGCACATAATGGGTACTCAAAAAAATGATTACTAGCATTGTTACTGGGTTTCCCTAGTGGCTCAGTGGTAAAGAATCACCTGCCAATGGAGGAGATCTGGGTTCAATCCCTGCGTCGGGAATATCCCCTAGAGGAGGAAGCAGCAAGCCACTCCAGTACTGTTGCTTGGGATATCCCATGGAGAGAGGAGCCTGGCAGACTATGGTTCATGGGTCACAAAAAGAGTCAGACATGACTTAGCAACTAAACAACAACAGCATTGTTGTTGTTGTTATTAAGGAGGGGAGGTTTGGGCAAAAGAGGAAAGAGGGCTAGGCAGAAAGGAAGGAGAGAGTATCCCAGGGGTCAGAAATAGCCTGTGGGAGACGGAGAGGAGAGAAAACAGTCTATAGAACGGGGAGCAAGAGACGAGCCAAAGACAGTGGATAATAAGACACACCACGGGGAAGAGGGTCTGCTGAGCACCTGAGGGCCTGGCATCATATTGGGGTCCGGGGTCTGTACTTGTCCCCACAGCCAGCTACCTGCCCAAACCTGGAGCCCAGCTCTACCAGTTTCGCTATGTGAACCGCCAGGGCCGGGTGTGTGGGCAGAGCCCCCCTTTCCAGTTCCGAGAGCCACGGCCCATGGATGAGCTGGTGACCCTGGAGGAGACCGATGGTGGCTCTGACATCCTGCTGGTTGTCCCCAAGGCAACTGTGCTGCAGGTGAGAACAGAGCAGCAGGGCTGTTCTGGGCAAGGGCGCCCCTTCCCGCTTCACCCCGCCCTGGCTGTAGCCTCAGCTGCAGACCTCATTGGGAGGTACACAAAGCCTTGCCTACAGGAGAGTCTCAGTCCAACACAGTCACACACACGCAGGATAGGCGAGCAGACCACCCACAGGCCAGCATCACTCAGTATTTCCTAAGAACTTTTTGAACCTTCTTCTCCTGGCGCTGCATCCTCCCCTGGGCTCTAGAGGAAGATGCAGAGGGTTGAGGGAGGCCCCTTGGGGAAGGAACATTCCGAGGGAGGGAAGGATGAGACCCACTTCCAGGATGAGTGAGGAGGGAGAGCAGATCGGTAGGGCCCTAGACCTGTGGAGCAGCTACCCGTGTGTGGCCCTTCAGCATTTGAAATGTGACTGGTCTAAACTGAGACGTTCTGTATGGATAAAATACACACTGGATTTTGAAGACCTATATTAAAAAAAGAATGTAAAAGATCTCAGTAATGGTTTATATCAATCCCATATTGAAATGGTAACATTTTGATCAACTGGATTAGATGAATGAATTCCACCTGTTTCTTATTATTTTCCTTAAGCGTCTACTAGAAAATTTTAAGTTATATATGTAGCTTGTATTATTTTTCTATTGGCCAAATAGAAAAGGATTAGGGGGAGAAGGCAGATGTTAGCAAGGAAGACTTCCTGAAGGAAGGGGAAAGATAGGGCCTGGTGGGGAGGACGTCCATGCCCCCAACAAGAGGACAGGCCTGAGGAAGGCTCAGAAGGTGGAAATGAGTAGTTTGTGATTTACACAAACTCCTGCCCTCTGGAACCGTCTAAACTTACGGAATCACCAGAAGGATGGGAAGAAGATGCTCATATCTTACATAAGTCAGCAGTGGGTGAACTCCTACCCAGTTGCTGTTTTTACATTCATTTTTCTCATTTAAACCTTCCAACAACCCAGGCTAGGGGATCATGACAGATGAGGAGAGAGACTCAGAGAAATTAAGTACTTTGTTAAGAGTCACCTAGCTAGTTAAAAAAAAAAAACATACTGGAGATTTAAACCCACATCTGTCTGACTCTAGAATAAATGGTGTAAAATTAGGGGAGCCATCCCTTTTGTCTGTGTGGGTTGAGAAAGACTTCTGCCAGGTGAGGAGTTCCTGCTATTGGTGGTCAAAGAAGGGGCAAGGCCTCGGGGCGGGGGGAGGAGAAGAGGAGTGAGCAGTTAAGAGTTCGGGGAGCCTGTGTGTGATGGGAGATGGGCAGGATTTGGTAGCACACCAGGCCTCCCCGACTCTCCACTTTGTAGCCTGTACTGATGTAACTTCCCCACCCTGACACACATCTGCAGAGTGGTGGGGAAAGGACCTTGGAATGGGCGCTTCACAGGCAGAACCCAACTTCTCATCCTGTCCCCCGTAGAATCAGCTGGATGAGAGCCAGCAAGAGAGGAATGACCTGATGCAGCTGAAGCTACAGCTGGAGGGGCAGGTGACAGAGCTGAAGAGCCAAGTGCAGGAGCTTGAGAAGGCTCTGGCCGTGGCCAGGGAGGAGCACGCGGAGCTGGCAGAACAGTATAAGGTGAGAGTTGGGCCGGTGGGGGGAAGGTCCTGGCTGCCCATCTGGAGTCCAAAATCTAAACCCAGTAAAATGAAGACAATGAAAGGGAGATGTTAGCGGGCTCTTAAGATGGTTCTGGCATTAAAGATACAGGCTGAAGGGGTCAGAAGTAGTAGTAAACTGGCTGTGATGGGAGACTTGTCCCAAACTGGTAGTGAGACTCAGTTCTCTGAGTCACAGAAGTGCTGAGATAGGGTGGAGGTGGCTATCTTCACTGGAAGGGGATGTTCCCTTACAGTTTCTTCTTCAAGGAAGGTGACCGGGTAGAAGGGTAGATAGTCAAACCTAGGAATTCTCCTTCTAAGCCTTTAGTCCACTCATTGCAAGGTGAGTCTCAGCTTCTCTCTTCTTCTTGGGGAACCTTAATTCCAGGGGCTTTCCCGGTCCCACGGGGAGCTCACAGAAGAGAGGGACATCCTGAGCAGACAACAGGGAGACCATGTGGCCCGCATCCTGGAGCTGGAAGATGACATCCAGACCATCAGTGAGAAAGTGCTGATGAAGGAGGTGGAGCTGGACAGGTGAGGGGACCCCTTCCACCCCCATCACTTCCCTTTGCTTCCTGTGACCCTCGAACCTCAGCCTCCTGTGTCAGGCAGGCAAGACCTGCCAACCGGTTTCTCCTTCCCTTCTCAGCCCCACTCAGGGTATTCCAATTCCTAAGGATATCCCTGTCTGCCAAGCTCTCTTCCATCTTTCCTAACCTATTCTGTATTCCTTACCTTTGGAAATAATCATTAGTATTTATTGTGCAGCAAAGGTGAAGCAGGAGCTAGGAGTACAGGATTTGGAAGACGGAATGGATAGAATGTTCCAGGCAAGATAAGAGAGGATGGATTTCAGATTTTACTTCAGCAAAGCATAAGATTAGACTCTGTTCTCAGTATTAGGAAATGTTAGAACTGGTGATCTGGAAATGTTAGAACTGGTCATCCAGAAATGTTATGGGATATTTGCCCTGAAAACAGGTACAAATCAGGAATCTTAGCATTGGGAGAAATGTAATGTATTTAAGAGGGTATGTGAGGGAAGATCACTGCCTCAGAAGGTGGCCTCTTTATCACAAAGCTGTCATTTGTTTTATCTCTTGTGTCATATTTACTGTCCTATAGCTTTCCTGATTGGTCCTGGTTTAGACCTCTGGAGCCACATAGAATAAATTTCTATCTTCTGCTAGACAACTATTCTCTCTACCAGATAGCACAAATATTGGCCACCTCCCTTGCCTCTCCTTCAGATTTTCACCAGGAGAAACACTTCTTTCATCAAATGACATAATTAAGTTTCCTTCATTCAGTGCTGGTAGATTTAATATCTTTTTAAAAACTCTTTGGAGAAAAGCAGCATGCTATCCAAGACCCAGAGTAAAAAGTGAGTTGGTCCCTAAGGCCTCTTTAGTCTAGGATGTGTTAGTCTTGCCCCAGGGAGATACTAAGTGTCTAGATTCTAAATCATGGAATAGAAACGTTAGGATCAAACCAAGCATCTGGAAAAGATCAGGGACTGTCTAGACCAGGGGTCAGCAAACTGTGGCCCACATGCCAAATCCAGCCTACCATGTGGTTTTGTATAGCCCACAAAACCAAGAAGGGTTTTGACAATTTTTAATGGTTGAATAACAAAAGAAGAGTTATATTATGTGACATGTAAAAATCAGATGAAATTCAGATTCCAGTTTTCATAAGTAAAATTTCATTGAGACATCCAGGCTCATTCATTTACATAGTGTCTGGCTTTTTCCACACTCCCATGGCAGAGTTTATAGGTTGCCACAGAGTCCACACAGCCTGTAGAACCTAAAATACTTACTCTCAGACCCTTTACAGAAAACACCTGCTGACTTCTGACCTAAATCAAAAGTTTATCATTAATGATGACTGGCCCCTGTCTACAAAAAAATAGATTCCAGTCTCGATTGAGTGCAAACAACTAGGAAGTCATCAACAGAGCTTCCCTCAAAGTTATACACAGAGAGGAAAGAACAACTGTCTATTCTTAGACTGTGCTCTAAAGCCAGCAATCTCAGATACTTGGGGCTTAGACCTGGATTATTTTGTGTTGGGAATTTGGGTGTCCCAGAGAGGTGGAGTTCTGGGCTAGACAAGCCCCAGCAGAAGGGCTGATGACAAAGTCTGAGTCTTTGTTCCTTCTCTGGAAACCGATGAGTCACCTGACATTATGTCCACCACTCACAGGGTTAGAGACACGGTGAAGGCCCTGACTCGGGAACAAGAGAAGCTGCTTGGGCAGCTGAAGGAAGTGCAGACAGACAAGGAGGAAAGTGAGGTAAGGGCTCCAAGCTGGTTTGCCTTCTCAGTTGTCCATCCATTGTTTTACTGTAAACTTACATCTGTAAATTCAGGTGTATAACATTTCCTTATTAAATGATGAAAGCGATTAGATAATTTTGGTGGATACCAAACTTTGAAATTGGAGGTTGTGGATGGCGGTTTTGTTGGCCTCAGCAGCTAACCTGTTTATGTATCGTGTGTATTGTACAGTATTGAGTACACCTTGAGTCTCACATACAGACCAATACAAGTGATCATTTTTAAGCTTCTACCCTGCAATCTCAGTTCAGTCTTTAGGTCAATAGAAAATACAGTTGAGTCAATTTATGACAAAAACCACTACAATATTGTAAAGTAATTAGCCTCCAACTAATAAAAATAATAATAAAAAAAAATAAATTAAAAAAAAAGAAAATACAGTTGAAACTTTATTCTGAGGTTTTCACAAAAATGAATTAACCTGGAAGCACATGTCAGTGCTTGGGGATCTCCAGTGTGCTAACACGTGAGTCTATGCATTGTTTTCCAACATAATTTTTCATAATTTGGAAGAAACTAAAATCAAATATTTAAGCTTCCAAATGGCTTCATCAGAACCCTAGGCTTCCATGGGAGATGGTCTGAAAACCATTTGCTCAGCAGTGAAGAGTAGGTAGAATTTGAATGGACAGAGATGAGAGGGAGGCCATTCTTGGAACAGAGGAAGACATGAGCAAAGGCTTAGAGTTGAGAATACACAGGGCAGTTGAATGTGTGGGTAAAGAGTTTGAAGTAAGACCTAAGTCAAATTGGAGAGGTTCTTGAATTTAGTCTTTATTCTATAAGCAGTGAGAGGCATTGATGATATTTTAAGTAGAGGACATGTTATACTTAAAGAATGTTCTTAGAGACTATTAATCTGGGAATCCCTTGGCAGTCCAGTGGTTAGGAGTATGCACTTTCATCGCTGAGGGCCTGGGTTCAGTCCCTGATCAGGAAACTAAGATCCTACAAGCTGCATGGCATGGCTAGAAAAAAGAAGACTATTAATCTGATTGCCTTGTGAGATTATTCAGTGATCCAAATGACCAGAGCCTGAGCTAATGTGGTCATGGTCATGGTGACAGCAGAAAAGGGAAAATGGCTGTGAACAAGGTGAAGGATGGAGAAGCATCCTTCCGATGGGTCGCTAGGAAGAGAACAGAACCACACATGGCACCAAGGTATCTAGTCTCAGTGACTTGGGAAGTAGTACCATGGACAGAAACAAGAGTGGCAAGGATGGGGGTGGAGTGGGAGGAAGAATATGGCGAGTGTGAGAGCCTACACGACATCCAAGTTGAGTTTCGGTCTAAAAGGAAGTGTAGGGGAGCAGACATGAGGCATGGGATGCCTAGATTCACATAAGACCCCAGGCTGTGCCACTGGAGATGGGACGTTCAGGATTGAGTTGTTTTGTGCTGCGAACCCAGGAAGGGCTGGCCAGGGCTGAAGGCTTGAGTTTGTGTTAAATCTGAGGAGTGGAACCTTGGCTTTTCTCATCACAGAGTTCCATCTGCCCGGTCACCCCAAATATGTATTCCCTTTCCTTACCTCCTCTCCACCTCCACCAGGCTGAGCTCCAGATGGCACAGCAGGAGAACCGCCGCTTGAATTTGGAGCTGCAGGAGGCCAAGGGCCGGCAGGAGGAGCAGAGTGCTCAGGCCCAGCGACTGAAGGACAAGGTGGCCCAGATGAAGGACACCCTTGGCCAGGCCCAGCAGCGGGTGGTGAGTGAAGCCCCTGGGCAACAGGAAGTAGCGAACATTCCAGGGCAGGTTGTAAACACATTGGGGGAAAGGCATGGCTCAAGACTAAAGAACCCAGTCCTGAGATCCTGATGCAATGGGGGAAAGGAAGGAACCCAGTTGTCTTCCTGGCTCAACAGATGACTCCTGGGAGCCCTGATTCCATCTCCTTCTTTCTCCCGAGGCTGAGCTAGAGCCCCTGAAGGAGCAGCTTCGAGGGGCCCAGGAGCTTGCAGCCTCGAGCCAGCAGAAAGCTGCCCTTCTTGGGGAGGAGTTGGCCAGCGCAGCGGGAGCCCGGGACCGCACCATAGCCGAGCTGCACCGCAGTCGTCTGGAGGTGGCCGGAGTCAATGGCAGGCTGGCCGAGCTCAGTCTGCACTTGAAGGAGGAAAAAAGCCAGTGGAGCAAGGAGCGGGCAGGGCTGCTGCAGAGTGTGGAGGTAGTGGGATGGGGGATCTGCAGGCTCCTGGTCACTACTGCCCCCACCTCAGTGTGGTCAGATCCCCTGGGGGGAGAGAAACAAGGGTGAGAACCTTCATGGACTTAGGGGTGGGGAGGGCCCATGAGGGAGGTATTTCACTGTCCCGGTATGGCCCCTCCCTGCAAGGAGTGTCCAGTTCCTGATCTTCATAGCACCTGCCTTTGTTAACATCTTGATTCAGATACATGTTCCAACCTAGGCCCCAGCCCTGCACGATACCCATTCCTACTCAGCAAGGCGCCTTGCTGTCAGAGCCCTTCCTTCTTTTGGGGAATGAGGAAGGCAAGAAGGCAAGAAGATGTCTCTAAATGGCTCCAAAACATTCAGTCCAATAAAGAAGAGACACGGTGAGGAGTGGAGCTGTTACCAGGGCCTCCCTTACCCTTACCCTCCCGTTTGCCTTTTCGGCACCTCCAGGCGGAGAAGGACAAGATCCTGAAGCTGAGTGCAGAGATACTTCGACTGGAAAAGGCAGTGCAGGAGGAGAAGACTCAGAGCCAAGTTTTCAAGACTGAACTGGCCCGGGAAAAGGACTCTAGCCTGGTGAGGCACCCAGCCTCCCACGAGCCCCAGGCGAGGGCCTCCCGGGGCATCAGTGCCCCTTCCCTCTGCCTTGGCTGTGGCCTCAGAAGTGCTGAGCACTCACTTCCCTGGTGGGCAGTATTCCACTTGCAGGCCTCCCCTCCCTCATTGGTCGGAAGCCTGCCATGTGCCTTTCTGCTCTCGGCACACATTCTGGGTCCAGTAGGGATGACTCAAGAGAATTCTAGGGTGTCCCTTCTCTGACCAAGGCCTCTGCACCCCAGTCCAGAGGCAGTCCTCCCAGTCCCCACTTGGGAGGTAGAGGCGAGGACTCAGGTGAGTCTCCTGCGGTTGAGACGGGGCTCTCGGAGGAGGAGAGTCAGGCCTCCCGTGTGTCGGGGCAAGCGAGGAGTGAAGGCATGAAGAGTCGTGGTTCCACGTTGTGGCATCCAGGTTCTAGGAGGCACATTCTAGTCTCCAGATTCCATCTGGCCCTTTCCCCCCAGGTGCAGCTGTCAGAGAGCAAGCGGGAGCTGACAGAGCTGCGCTCAGCGCTGCGTGTGCTCCAGAAAGAAAAGGAGCAACTACAGGAGGAGAAGCAGGTGAGAGCCCAGAACCCAGCCCCTGGATGCCTGAGTGGAGGACCTGAGGGCTAGGAGCTTGGTGTCTTCTTGTCATCTCTCGGCTTAGAGATGGACATCAGTAAGAAGCGCCCAGAGGCTAAAAATGGGGTCATGGCTCCTCTTAGAAGCCCACCTGGCAGGACAGAGGAGGGTTGCTGGGGGAAGCAGGGTGAGCGTGGGGGGTGGAAATCGGCCTTAAACCCTCCCACCCTTTGATGAAGGCATCAGATTCTGAGGAGCTCAGAGATCACCCTGGACCAGGGGAAGGCTCTGTGGGGCTGCCTGGTTCATACCTTCTCAGCCTCTCACACTTCTCCCCTCTTCCAGGAACTGCTGGAGTACATGAGAAAGCTGGAGGCCCGCCTGGAGAAGGTGGCCGATGAGAAGTGGAGTGAGGACCCTGCCACAGAAGACGAGGAGGCCGCCGTGGGGCTGAGTCTGTACACCCGCAGTCTTGTGACCCCACCCCCACCCAGCTCTCCCTCCCCATGTTGGGAAAACACCATTTGCCTCCCTGGGAGCAGCCTCTGCCCTCCGTGTTTTGCCTTCTTCCTTCCCAGCCCCTGGTCCCCAATTTATTAACTATATTTCTCCTCCAGAGAAGCCAGAGCTGATGCAACCCTCTTTCTTCTCTGCCTGCTCCCTCGCCTGCAGGCTGCCCAACGGCTCTGACAGACTCGGAGGACGAGTCTCCAGAAGACATGAGGCTCCCACCCTATGGGCTGTGTGAGAGTGGAGACCCGGGCTCCTCCCCTGCCCCGGGGCCACGAGAGGCTTCTCCCCTTGTGGTCATCAGCCAGCCAGCCCCCATCGCTCCCCAACTCTCAGGGCCAGCTGAGGACAGTACCTCAGACTCGGTGAGCAGAGAGGAGAGACTGAACAGGGGCAGGGACAAGGGGTAGGCCCAATCCCAAGTGGCCCAGCCTCCAGAGCAGCTTTAGCTTCCTGCTTTCTTTGGAGGAGAAGAGGCAGGCCCAGGCTGTCTTTAAGACCACCCAGTAGGCACCACCCCAAAACCCAGTCTGACCCAATAGCTCACTGCTGCCACCCCCTCTTCACATACCCGTTCTCTTCTTGTGTACCAGCCACCATCCAAATGCTTCTCCTGGGACTTCCCTGGCAGTCCAGTGGCTAAGATTGCTCGCTCCCAATGCCCATGTTCCATCCCTGGTCGGGGAACTACATCCCACATGACATGATTAAGACCCAGTACAGCCAAATAAATTAACAAACAAACAAACAAAACATGCTTCTCATGCCCCACTCTTACTACAGCTTTCTGTTAATAACCTTGGCCTAGTCTGCTCTTCCCTTACCTGTCCCAGCACCCTGCTCCCCCCGTCTCGGGACACTACCCCAAGACTCAGCACTATCCCTTTGGTGCCCAGGAGGCTGAAGATGAGAAGTCGGTCCTGATGGCAGCTGTGCAGAGTGGGGGTGAGGAGGCCAACCTGCTACTTCCGGAACTGGGCAGTGCCTTCTATGACATGGCCAGGTGAGTGCTCAAGGGGGCAGACAGCTCAAGGGAGATGCCCTCTCCACGGGCATCCAGGTGAACAGTCCTCATGCCCTTCCACCCCCTCCCCCTTCTTGGCCCCAGCTAAGAAAAGGAGATGCACTTGTGTTGACACAGAGAGTGACCCACTGCCCCAAATCATTGGTGCCTTCAGGCAGTCCTCCCCCATCCTGTCAATGCACGTGTGCACTCAGAGGCCCTGCCTTTAGCTGGCTTCTCTGTTGTTCTAGCACCATCTTCCGCAGAGCCCACATTGCCCTGCATCCCCTCTCTCCTGCCCCTACCCCTTCCCCAGCCACCAGGTAAGTGCCTAGGCTCTGTCAGGGGTTGAAGGGAGGTGACCAAGGCCCCCAGGGACAGGAACAGAGAGAAGACTGGGGTCCAGCATCCATCTGATACTGCCGCTCCTCTCTGACTCGCCTGGTCAGTTCTTTGGGTGGGGGATTCAGGTATCAGATTGTGCCCCCACTGCCTTCCCTTTTCCCCCCGCAGGTCAAGAGGGGAAGGCAGGGAGGCAAGAGAGGTTTTATCATCCAGCCCCCAGCTTCGCCTGGATATGAGATGGGCTCAGGGCAAGGAGGAGGTGATGCTGTCATCCTTCCAGGCTGGAGCAGGAAGATGAAGGACGATGTCAGAGTCATTTTCAGCCTCATTAGGCAGCAGACGGAGATGGAGGGAGGAGAGCAGGAGGTTGGGGGAAGGGCTATGTACCAGAGCAACCATCAGGGACTAAAGGAAAGAGGGCTCGGGGGAGCGAGGAAGCTGAGGCTTCCAGTGCTGTGGGGAGAGGGATACTATGAGAGGCTTGGAGAGGACTTAGGAACAGGATCATCTGGGAGCCCACGTGTGTGGGTCCCTCTCCCTGAGGTCCGAAAGCCAAGAAGGCCGCAGAGCATGGTGACCCTCTCCTCCCCCCTGTCTTTCTCTAGTGGCTTTGCTGTGGGTCCCTTGACAGAGGCCAGCACTGGGGACCCTGCCACCCCGCCGTGGAAGGAGTGTCCTATTTGTAAGGAGCGCTTCCCAGCCGAGAGTGACAAGGATGCCCTGGAGGACCACATGGATGGACACTTCTTTTTCAGCACCCAGGACCCTTTCACCTTTGAGTGACCCCACCCTGCACTCCCAGTCCACACACAGACACACACTTACACACATGCACACACTCATGCATAGACATACACTTCGGTTTCATGCCTCTTTTCCAATGCCCTCGGCTTCATGATATTCTGTTGCCTGACAACCGCTCCCATGTGGTTTCATCCCAGGCTCTCCAACATCATCCTCTCCCAGCTGGCTCTTCTGTCCAGGCAGGGGTTCCTTCTTGGAGGCAGTGGCTGAATTTACTCCCTGAAAATGGTTTTGGAGGAACCAAGATGGAGGAGGCCTTCTCTAGGGGGAATGGAATCACCCCCTCTTGGCCCCGGTTGCTTCTGTTAGTCACGCCAACCACTGCACCACCACCACCACACACACTCACACACTCACACTCTCTGATGCCCCAAAGCCAATTCCTGGGGCACACCCCCACCCCTTTTGTTCGGGGTCTGTGTTTGTTTACCTGAGTTTTCTCTGGGGCCTGCATTGACATCATGACTTCTTTAGGTCTCTTCCGGTTCTGAGCTTCTCTCGTTCCTCCTCCTATTCCCCCGCTGCCTTCCATACCCCAGCCCAGCCTTTTCCATACATTAGATATTAAGTTTGGAGGTTTCTTTTGTATTTTTGAGGTTTTCTGTACTTTATCTCCTGTCCCTCTCCACCACCATCCCCCAGGGTCCTCACATGGAAAGAAATGATGTACTTGTGCCTTCTCTGAGGGATGGGGGAACAAATGGTCCCAGGTGTCCCCACTTGCCAGCCCTCCCTCGCTCACCAAGTCCCCCCTCAGCAATAAGAGCTCCCCCCCATTGCCCTCCCCCTGCCAGTAGTTGAACAAATATATTTATATGATATGTATAACTATTCTAATAAAATGTGTTCTTATCATGAGGTGTGACTAGAGAAAAGACGCTCAAGACCTCTGGCTCTTAGACCTTGGTGGAGGGAAGAGGGAGGGAGGAAGGGCCCCCCCAGCCCCATGCCTTAGGGAGGAGGCTGGCAGTATTTTTCCATGATGCTTCCATATGCTGGCCACCAGTGGGAAGTGAGGAAAGAGGAACGTTTGTCTCAGATGGGGGTCTGAGTGCAGTGCAGGAGGGGGCAAGCCGAGGGAGAGGGGACCGTTGTTTCAAGGTGGAGCAATATGGGACCTGGGATATGGCCTGAGGTGTGTGTCTTGAAAGTAGGGTGAAGTTTCCACCGCTGAGACCTTTACTCTCCAAAGTAGCCTTCACTGTACCTGAGCCAAAGGACAGACATTACTCCCAATAAGAGTACACCCCTTTGAGTATCAGCTTGGTAAAAAAATGTCCTAAACCTCCTACCTCTAGAATTATTTAAATTTCTCCCAACCCTGCCTCCCTCTCTCCCTCTGTTGCAATCCTCAGATAACCAGTATGCACATGCAGACTCTACAAACACAAAAACACATTCATCCACCCTAACCAGCTTCACAGGCTAGACAGACACACACGCAGCATCATAAAGCATGAATTAAGAGCCCACGTGCTCACCAAGGCTCTCGGCAGTACCCGGCATTAGCCGTGTCTACAGCCCACTGTTCTCCACTCCAGTTGCTCCCTTATCAGCCACCCTCCATTCCCTTCAGGGCCCATGGATGGGCCACCCCCACCATTCCCTCTCTGCATCCACCTGAAACCTCCTTGCCCACCTCCTTCCAGCCCCACCTGGGTGACATCTTACATCCTTCCTTCTCTCACGTTGCTGTCTCCTAGCAACCCCATCTCGTTCCCTGAATCCCTTCCAAGGAAATTAGAGATAATGGATCTCTCCTCTCTCCATCTCTACTCCTCTTTATTGATCCTCCTTTAATGAAAGTTAATTATAACAATGATTTAATTAATAGAATCCCTCTCTTCCTTTATTGCTTCCCGTATTAAGACTATTAATAAATACGAGCTGGGCTGACAGAGGCATCCATCACCCGCCTGGGATTCCCCCAACCCTCCTTTTTCCCTCCCCCTTATCCCCTCCCTCTCTTGGCCTATAAACTTGCCGGGGTAGTGGGGGTTAATCAGAGAGGAATTATGAGCCAACATCCCCAGCAGGAGGTGCATTTAATGAAATCACTTGTGATTTATGTCTGGGGGAGGTTGGGGAAGGAAGAATCTGGAACCCAGACATCCTGCTTCTATAAGGGTATCCCCCCAGTGCAAAAGAGGAGGAAGGGAAGCAGAAAGAGGGGCCCAGGGCTTTACTGCCACCCCACAGCCCCTGCAAAGCCACACACACCCTGGCAGGAGCCACATGGGTAGCTACACAAGGCCACTGACACAGAGGCTGCCAGACTTAAAGTGCTTCCTAGGAGTGTAGTGTAAGTTTCACTCTTTCCCACCTCCACAGCTACACAGGTCATTTTCACCTCTCTCCCTTCTCCCCAGCCCAGTTCTGCTTCACCTTCCCAATGTACTCCGCAATTTCCTCCTTCATGAGGTCCCCCAGTCCCTCATCAGACCCCTCAACCTGGGTATCTAGAAATTTCCAGCCCCTGCTTTCTCTGCCCTTAGTATGTTTTCTAGTGTGCAGTCTGCACCTTCAGACTAGGAGTTCCCTGGAAATGTAGAACAATTTCTTTTCCTCACTTATGATTTGCCTACCCCAGGTGCCAGTGCCTGACACCGGGTGCTCAGGGGAGAGCAATTGACTGCACAGGCAGGGGAGGAAGACAGCTGGGTTCCCATCAGAGTTTTCTCCTACTCACGGTGTGGTATTTGGCAACTCAGCCTTCCTACTGTTCCCCCCTGTAATGGATCGTCTGTCTTCCTCTGCTTCCCAATACTCTTGCAGAAAGTGATGGACCTGAATGGGCTCAGACCAAGTAGCAGCAAATAGGAACTCAGGTGTCAGTATTTGGTGAGGGATGAATGAGTCCAAACATCACTCCCCCCTTACAGAACCTCAGTGGCTGCCTGTTACCTACAGGAATGCAATGTGTGCCAGTCGGGGCACTTCACCAACTCGCCTTTACATTTCCCATTCTACCCTAAGGAACCCTGGGCTCCAGTTTTACAGAACCACTCCACAGAAATAGGCACTGCTTTTGTATGCCTCTGAGCACATGCTTTCGCCTCAAAACAAACCTCCTCGTGAAGCCTTTCTTCATCCCCTTCATTATCCTCTGAGGTACCACATGTTAGCACTTTGTCAAAACTCACTATATCGTATCTGCAAGTTTTTCCTCTCTCTCGATGATAAGCAGCTTGAGAGAAGGGGTACTTAATTAATCAAGACTCAAGGAGACAAAGCTTCCTGTGGATAATGACATGGGGGCTGAGTCTTAATCAATGTGTACTTGTTAGCTTAGTGTGTGCAGGCAGACAGGACAAAATGGTGAAGACCGAACTCACTAAGAAATCCCAACCTTCAACGCTAAGAAATCTTGATTCTCACTTAACTCTGAATTGGATTGGATGTGATGTAGGAAGTGAAGCTGGACAGATGGATCATAGACATCTACTCATACATATCCTCAACAAATCCTCACTGAATGCCTACCATGTGCTAGGTGCTGTTCTAAGCACTAGGAAGCTGCATGAACAGACAGGAATGTGTACGCTCAAAAAGCTTACACTCTATTGCAAGATCATGAAAGTCCAAAGAAACCAATTAGGAACCCACTGTAATAACCCAGGCTAGACCATTGAGCCCAGAACTAGGGAGTTTCCTGGTGGTCCAATGGTTAGAGCTTGGCACTGTCACTGCAGTGGCCCATGTTCAATCCCTGCTTGGGAAACTAAGATCCCAAAAGCTGATCAGCGAGGCCAAAAAACAGTGAGCACTGAACTTAAGCGGTGTCAAAGAGGAAAAGAGGCAGACTTCTTTAGAATGCAGAATTAGTGGGACTTGTTAATAATGAGATATGGGAATTGAACAGGAGTCCTGTTGATCCCAGGTTTCTGCTTTCAGTGACCAGATAACCAGTGATGCCATTCACCAAATTAATAATACAAATGGAGAAATAATACATTGAGGGGAAAGGTTATCAGTGCAATTTTGCCTTGTTGAATTCCCAGTGTCTTCAAGATCTTTCAAAGGAGACAGGACTCCAGTAGACAATTGGATAGATATTTAAGTCCAGAGCTCAGGAGAGTTTAGAGCAGAAGAGAGAAACTTAAGATCCTTGTAAGTAAAGATGATACAAGTGAAAAAAGATTACCCAGGCCTCCCTGAGTGTAGAGTGAGAGGTCAGAGGACCAGGGGCAGCACTCAGGAGACCATTAACACGGAAAAGAAGGATGGGGAGTGCTAAGCCACGGAGAAGAAAGAAGAATCAGAGAGGTAGGAAGCAACTCAGGGGAGGTGAGTCAAGGAAAAAGGCCACAGCAGCAGTGCAACAGAGAAGCCAGGGAATGTTTCCCTGGAAACAGCTGGTTTGACAGCCAGGAGGTCACTGGCAACTCAGCAAGAGGCACTTAAGGAGAGTGTTGCAGGTAGAAGTAATTGTACAACTGGACTTCACAGAGCCTGAAACAGATACCCTGCAATAGATATGCCATTCTTCTGACCCTTGGGAACTGGGGACATGTCTCTAGTCTCACAGAAAAACAAGGACTCCTAAGTCAAGGTGTAAGAACAATCAAGAGTGGGAACCAAGATGTCTGGATTCCCCCATCAAAGATCCTGCTGCCTGTGACCAATCACGGTTAGGTACTCTCTAAGCCTGCACTGCCCACTTGGTGACCACCAACCACATGCCACTACTGAACACTTGATTTTTTTTTAATTTCTTTTGCTTTTTGGCCTTGCAGCATGAGGGATCTTATTTCCCCAACCAGGGATAGAACCTGTGCCCCATGCAACAGAAGTTTGAGTCCTAACCACTGAACCACTAGGGAATTCTCCACTAAAACACACTTGAAATGTGACGAGTATCGACAGATTTGTCAACTGCAAATCGCATAACAAATTTCATATTTAACACCAAAACTAAAACAAATTTAAAATAATGTTACATTGACTGCATGTTGAAGGGATATAATATTTTTAATAGA